TCAAGTTTTGTGCAAAAACGCATGATCGCTCCGGCTCGCCTGGTGCGTTCCAGCCTACGTTGTTTGAGTAATCACTACAAAAAGGCCGTATGTGCCTGAAGGGACCTGTGAGGAAAAGGAAAGTTGCGCTGCTACAGCGAGCAGGAACGTATATTGTGGAGGGGTGGTCTGCATGTGTGTGTGTGTGTGTGTGTGTTCAGAAGCGAGTGGACTTTGTCACCCATAACCACAGCGTTACCCAGATGTTCGTAAAAATTCGAGATTAAAGAAAAAAGGATAAAAAATAAGCTAAAAAAGGGGGTCCAGATTGTTGCGATGAATATTTTTTTTTTTTAAAAAAGTGAAGGTCGGATTTAAAAGAAGTCATGTGAAGAGCTGTATGTATAAAAAGCCTGCCTGTGTTTCATCCCCAAGCTGTAAACACAGACAGTAACCGATGTGATTAGCGGCGGGAACTTTGGAGGACTGTCTGAGACCGTAAAATATCTTAGCGTACTGTTGAAATAACAGCGTTCAGCACGGAAAATGGTGGTAAGCTCAGCAAAAACCAAGCATATCTTGGAGTGACTAATGCCTTCGTCGATTGCGTCTGTTGTGGGAGAGCCGTTGTGACAGTGGTAATCCCTTCGGGAGACGAAACGAACATCGGAGTAGCCAGCAGGCTGACCGCTGAGGGATACAGCAGCCAAAATAACTGAAAAATTGGCTGGCTGGCGGAACGGATCATGAGATAACAGCTGCCTGAACTGCACCGGCTTGTGAAATCAAAGTACCAGATGACCAAGTCTATCCAAGCCAAGTGTTTTCTCGATGCTCCAGGCAAATTCTGGTAGTCCTGGGACTTATTCTTACATAATTTTTTTTAACATGGCGTCCAATTTTTACGTAATTTCCGTGAAATTCGTGACGTGAACGATTCGGCGCAAAAAATAGTTACGGAAAGTTCACGTTTTTCTTCATTTTATTACGTGGCCAGCGACGTACGTTGAGGGCAACAAGCTGTGGGGTCACTGAAGTCAGCAAGAAATACTTAATTTGATGAAATTTTCATTTTTCAGCAAAAAAAACACATTTTTTGGCTGTTTTTGTTACGTTCAAAGGGAAGCGTTATTGGCCGTTATCGAAGAGAATCCAGGTAATTCGTTTGGATCAATTTTGACAGTTGTAGGGCCTATTTC